TTCACCCCTCCATTTTCAATGTCCTTAATTTAATACATCATTAACATGGTATGATATCCGCGTCATCTTTTGTTTGCAGGAACTATGTTGTGCAATTTGTCTTTGAACTTCAGCTTCCGTGGGCAACTGTACATATTCTTGACCAGTTGGAGGGTAATTATGGGGATTTGTCGGTGCAGAAGTATAGCAGTAATGTGGTTGAGAAAAGCCTGAAATATGCAGATGAAGAGCGTCGCACACGCATTATTCAGGAGCTGATAGAAAATCCGCGCTTGGATCAAGTCATGCAAGACCCTTATGGAAATTATGTTGTCCAAGCAGCTCTTAGTCAATCAAAGGTAAAGTATTATAGTACATCTTACATTCTTTTTCGTGGTTTAAATGAAATTCCTGTTCTTTTACGAAGAATAATTAAATTAATAGATGTGCATTTAATAACAAAATACAAGTGAAGTGATCATACGGTTCTTGATCATTTTTCTAATCTCTTTTTCTTTGGGGCAGCGATGGGGTTTTTCTATGCTTGTCCTTCTGAAATTCTCTTTGCTGTTTGAGCAGGGAATCCTTCATTCTAAATTGGTGGATGCAATAAAACCTCATGTGTCAGTTCTTCGGACCAGTCCTTATGGGAAGAAAATCCTCTCTAGCAACATTTTGAAGAAATAAACTTTTGGTATATTGAGACAATATCTTCTTCTTTGACATGGCATTCAAGATTTATCCATTTTCATTCCTTTGGCATTGCGTTCGAGCTCATCGATTTTCTTTCTTCCACATTGTAGGTTTTGATTCGTTCAAAGAATCCCTGTAAATCTGTAATAAGCAGGTGAAGAAAAGCTCTAGCGCTAAAAGGTTTCAGTTTTGACCAGATGGAAATTGAATCTTATTCTTTCTGGTTTCTCTCTCAACAGGTTTTGACAATGTCAGAGCAAATCTCGCAGCATCACACGAGATGGATATGTTTGTAGATTAGCGGATTCGTTTTTGTCCCGTTTGGTTTTGCATAGGAATAAAAAGGAATATGTGAAGATGAAGATTTAGAGTTGTTTGAGCTACGGGGAAACTGTACCATGGTTGGAATTGGAGGATGGAGCAATGTGTATCTTGCATCTATAGATTATTACTACCAGAAACATCTATGCTTCATCTATGTTTTTGTTGTGTACTATTAGTATTTATTCAGAAACATCGTGTTGCTGTTTATTAAAACCTTATTATGTTCTAACTTAACCGTTGATTATTCGTTAATGTTAGGTCTTCTACTGCTAATATTTGTCTTCCTTTTGTTGCTAATTTTCTGGTTATTATGGGACTCACGTACAAACAATAAAATGATGCCGTATGGGAATTATAGGACATGGTTCCTTGGGGGATTAAAAGGGGGAAATTTTGTTTTTCAAAAGACATTTGGGGTGATAGGTTGTGTTATAATACAAAACAGAGTTGTAACAACCCTAAAAACGGTAATTTTATGCGCGCCTCAAAACTCAATTTTTTATTAAAAGTTTGCAACCGGTTGTATTTAAAGTTACACATACTCTCTTGTGTTGTGCAGGAACACAGAAGACCTACCCATTAAAACGGTCGACTTTGGCAACCGCCCATATAAGTGACATGTGGCATCACACCCTTGAACTGAAGACAAGAGACTATTAGAGCCACTAGTCATGGACTCGTTGTAATCCAAAACCTTTTTCTTTGAGACCAAACAAATGGAATTTCCACCGCAAACTTCCCCAGCAACTCCAACATCTTCCTCTTCTTCTCCTCCTTCACCGTAATTTCAGCTAAAACAAGGCCAAACATAATGTCTTTAGCTCCAACAAGTCACCTGTCTCTGTGTTCTGCACCGCCAATGCCAAGAACTTCTTTGACCAAGCAGCAGAACAACCACCCACTTGTGTTTTTTCCGACCAAGAATTTCTCAGTTCTGAGCACTTCAAGCAGTTTCCTCGGCGCCCGTTCGGTTAGACTGTCTATTTTCTTAGTAAAAACATCGGAAACTGAGTCGAAACCAGCAGAGAGTGGAAGTGAAGGAGGAGGAGAAGGAGAAGGAGAAGGAAAACCAGAAGCATATGAAGAGTATGAGGTGGAAGTGGTGAAGCCTTACGGGCTGAAATTCTCCAAGGGCCGAGATGGTGGAACTTACATTGATGCCATTGCGCCCGGTGGATCTGCTGACAAGACTGGCAAGTTCACTGTTGGGGATAAAGTTATTGCCACAAGGTTGTTATCTGATCCTTCTTCCCCTTGTAATTTTTGTGGCTTTATTTGTATGGTTGTTGGACAGCATGACTCTTGCTTTGCATATTTCTGAAAATTTATCCGGAAATATATTAAAATGAAATTGGTTACAAACTGTTAATTAACAATGGAATCCGAGGGACAACAATATGTCGATAAAGGGGCATTAAACTGTGGTATTTATTACTATTTTTATTCCAGTTCTTTTTGGCACGTGCATATTGTTTGCGCTTTTGATCAGTTATTTATGCCAATGAGTTCCTGTGTTGGCAATGTGATCAAACAGTTCTAAAATGCATGCAGTGCAGTTTTTGGGGATGAAATATGGCCTGCTGCCGAGTATGGGAGGACAATGTACACTATTCGCCAGAGGATCGGTCCACTTCTCATGCGAATGCAGAAGAGATACGGTTAGCTCATTCTCCCTGCCTCGTTTTTACTCGTTATCCAAGTTCAAAGCTCATTCCCCTTATATCACTCTTCTGTAACATTGTCTGAGGTTTTCGGAAATTTTGTTTCTTTCCAGGCAATTTAGATACTTCAGGTGAATTAACGGAAAAGGAGATTATCAGAGCTGAGAGGAATTCTGGTGTAATTAGCGGAAGATTGAGGGATATCCAAGTAAGTGAATCATTGTTCCAGTTGCCAGCACAAACAGTCTGAATTGTTTCTTCATTTTTTAAGAAGATACTTCTAGAAATGGTCTCCAGTGTAGTCTCTAAATGTTTGTAAAATGAATTCAGATGCAAAACTATATGAGGAAAAAGGAACAAAAAGCTCAGAGAGAAAGTGACCTTCGACAAGGCCTCCAGCTTTACAAGTATGCAGCTTGATCTTATATGTACATTCTTTCATACTTCATCTTTCTTTTATTGGAAAAGTTATAAGTTTCAGTTTGCTTCCATTTATTTATGTTCTTTTATTGGTTGAAAAAGGGGTGGCAAATATGAGGAAGCATTGGAGAAATTTGAATCTGTACTAGGATCAAAACCAGAGTTAGATGAAGCTTCCATTGCAAGTTACAATGTTGCTTGTTGCTATTCTAAGCTTAATCAGGTATCTAATAAGAATACTATTATTATGATTAATTTGCATGTTGCTTCAACATTTCTCTTGGTTTTGGCATTCAAAGATTTAACCAAGCGTGAAAAATGTTTCCACCTGAGTTTACCTACATTTTGATTTATCCGCCTACGGCTGATGCTGTTGCGTGCATTGAATAGTATTTTCTGAAGGATTTCCTCACTTTCATATTCATTTTTGCGATCAATTAACTGCTTTGTTTATATTGCAATTCTTTATATAGATACAAGCTGGGATCTCAGCACTTGAGGATGCCTTGAAAGCTGGATTTGAAGACTTCAAGGTAACGGACCCACATTTGAGAATACCATGGTTTATTTCACAGAGATTCTTATGGAATTTATTACTATTACTGTCAACAGAGAATCCGGACTGATCCCGACCTAGAGAATGTAAGAAAATCTGAGGAATTTGATCCTCTATTGAAAAGATTTGACGAATCATTCATCAACGAGAATGCCATCAACGCAATCAAATCTATATTTGGCATTTTCAACAAGAAATAGTGCAATAAGCTACTTCAAAAGTTAAAGGAATTGAGCTGGTATGCATTTGAGCTTAACGCCAAATCAATGAAGGGATTGACCGAGCCATCAGCCATCAGGTGCTTCAGACGGATCAGTTTCACAAGTATCAATTTGTTCATGGTTTTGGTTTTGGATGAGTTTGGAAGATATTTTTCTCTCTATTCTTGCTTGCTTCAATCTTTTTCTCTGATGAGAATCTTCTGTTTGTAATTTGCAAGAATTGAAGATAGAAAAAAACTTACGAGGGTAACGAATGGCCTGTTTGGTATTGGATTTGGATCCAATATTTTTAACTTAAAAACAAGTTTTGAGTCTCGATTTAAGATTTTTGTTTGGTATTTGATTTGAAAACAATTCTCAAAATTCCAACCCAAAAATATTTGAAAACAAAGCCTATTTGTTGAAAACACAAAATTTGTGTTTTTAGACTTTTTTTTGGAGATTCAGCCACTCCCGTCTCTCTCTCTAACCTTCTCACAGAGGCCTGCACTGGTGTGCACTGCAGTTTGCTTGATTTCTTAACAAAGCTCCACCCCCGACTCCTCAAATTTCCAATTGTTGCAGATCTCCAAATACCAAGTCTACCGTGTCCCGCCGCCAACCCGCTACAAGAACTACACTCGCCAGAACCCTTCTTCTACTGGGTCTTCGGCCTCATTCCAACCTCATCCTCCTCCCCACCGACATCTTCTACCTCGTGGTTTGCCCTGAGTCCCCCAACAACTCAATCGATAGCATCGTGTTCAGAGGATTCAACTTGACGGTGTTGTCTCCTTCTTCGTCATCTCACTGGAGATCCAGGTCACTATTTGAGCTCAAAACCCCAACAAGAAGATCATAATTTACTGTGAGAAAGCCCCCCATCAAACCCTTCAACTTAACTTTTTTTTCTTTTTTTTTTGGATTAGTTTAGAGAAGTTGCATACCAAACAAGGTTTTGGATTTAAAATTTTTAAATCAGAACATGTGTTTTTAGAAAAAATCAAAATTTTAAGTTTTGTTCTCAAGTTAGATATCAAACGGACCCGAAAAGTTTCATATACAAAAATTTCATCAAATGATATTAGTGTAAATTGCTTTTGTGTTTGCATATGTTATTGCATCTTTATCATTTTAGAGGGCAACTCCGCTGAAGCATTAACTATCTAAATGAAAAAAAACTACTTCATTTAGTGTCAGAACTTGTGAGAAGTTTCATAATCAGAAGAATGCAATATTGTCAACATTCTTATAAACGAATATTGACTACCCACTCTATTGAGTTGTCATAAAACAGTCTTGTGAAAGCTGCAGCTCCGTTGTAATTTGGTAACTCGAAAACTAAAGCTGAATTTCAAACACTCGAGTTCTGTTCGATTTTAGACTCGCTGCATAAACGTGAATTTTCCCTTCTTTCTCCTGTAATTGCTGCGATTTCCTTAGGAATTTGCAGAGTGGATGCTGATTTTGAGAAGTTTCATAAAATAACACAAATGCAGCCTCTTCTGTTGTCGTCTTCATTGTCGGTATCTTCTGGTTCACTGTTGAAGAAACACAAATTGCGCAGTGATTAGGTGAGAAACCAAAACCCATTTGAAACATAATAAGATAAAAAAGTGTTACTAAATCAAATCGTGAAAACTATTCAACCCACGATTCATAGAAATTCCGAGAATCTAATTCCGAAAACCAGGATTAAAAAAATGACATTGGAATCCTTTGGTTGAGTGGCCAATAATACTGTCGATCCTTTTCTTCAACAGCAGAAAGCAGAATATCCCTAGAGAAAGGAACTACGAAGATGACCAGCTTTTGGTATTTGTTACATTTTGGAAAAGAAAACAACTTATTTAAGGATACGTTGCAGATATATTCCTACAACAGATATCTTCTAGACATATCTGGTGTGTTCTTGTACTTATGTGATTAACGGTCAGATCTAAGTTGGTATAACATCGGCTCGATTTTGTGCATCAAAAGAAGTAATTTCAACAAATCAAATGGCATGAGAGAAACTTAGATGTACTAGAGATACCACTATGGCAGTATACCAAAAAGTCATGCGTTGCCGTGCGTTTCATATGGTAGTTTGAGATTACCGCAACAATGTGATCTCTCCATTGTAGGGAAGTTGTTGTAAAGAAGAATGTGAAGTTGTATTGTAAATTAAGATAAGTTTGGGTGTGAAGATGGGGAGGAAAAGTTTGAAGACAACATGTATGTGGTTTCCACTTTCAAGTTTCAGCTATTAAGTTATGAAAAAATACACTACTGAATGGTGGTTTCAACTCTCGCATGAATGCTACGCTTGAGACCAATAAGGAGAAAAGATCCAAACTATCCAAACAAAGCTAGTATAAATTTGTTTTTCCCTTTTCAGAAAGTGTAACCATGATGTTATCTGATCGATGTACTGCTTTGTTGAATGAACCTTATATGTGCTTATAAGTAATTGGGTCACTTCTCGTATTGTCAATTGGTTTTATTCCTGCTTAACATTTGGAAAGAAGATTAAGCATGATTTTTGAATTCTGATGTAAGATTTTCTTCACACTAGTTGTAGAAATGGGAAGCTGACATATTCAACAATTAACTAAAGAATTCCACCCAAAGAAAATGGGGAGAAAGAGAGAGAGAGAGAGAGAGAGTAAAGACCACACCTGCACTCAAATTCCCTAACGTCAACAAGCTGCTTCCCTAAAAAGTCTGTCCACTGCACTCTCTTCTTGAGCACCTCCTGTTTTGGAGCACCTGAGTCGGAATTAGGCTTTCGGAGACTACTCTTGAGACAAGGCTGAGCGGTAGCTGGTTGTGGATTCGCATTACCTAATAACCTCTCCTCCTTGATGATCTCAGTGGTTTCTTCATCAGATAAGTGGTCAGATGTCTCAGGAACTGGTTCAAGTCTTGAATTAGGCAAAGGTGGAGATGGAGTTGGGGAATTCTGTAATTTGAGTGGTCCAGGAGTGTATATGAGGGGAATTAGGCTTGCAAAAGCAGATGAAGGGAGGACAATGAATCTTGCAAAACACAAACCTCATCAATATATATATATGTGTGTGTGTGTGCGCCTGGCTGCCTTCCTTAGGATCACACCACATCAACAACAACTTACCATTACTTCTCCAAATTACCTATTTTGCAGTTCCAGTCTCAATTCTGAAACAATGTGACAAAGTATGAATTTCGCAACGTCCGTACGCGTAAATCTGTTACAACTTCAAAACACAAATGAATTGAAGGCCTATGAAGTCCAACTCCTCAAGAAGAATAACAAACCTAAAAAGTAAAGCATAAAGAAAGAGCCTTGCCTACTGCCTAGCCTATGATTGTGGGAATGGGATTCCCTTTTTTTTATAAATTATTAAGTAGAGGGAGGGAACAGGAAGAAAGCAGCAATTATGTCTATGGAGACTGAAATTACGATTATACCCTGCTCTTTTAGGGTTCCACCTCCTCCATCGTGAACATCATGGACACTTGACAATGTTGAGAAGAAACAGAAAATGTAATGAGAGAGCAAAGTCTACGAGTTTAGAAAGAAAGAAAGAAAGAAAGAAGAAGGAACGAAAAGAAAGGAAAGGGAAAGGGAAAGCTTTTACACATAAAGGCAAGCACTCAACAACAAAAATATTACACATAAAAAACATAGAGCTTTTACCCTCTCCCAAATCCAAATCCAAAATATTTTTACACACACACCCAGATATACATATACATATATATATATATATATATCAAGATTAAAGAAGAAAATGGTATAATTAAGAGAAGAACAAATCCGAGCCAATATAGATATGATTATATTAATTATGATATTAGAAAGAATAATCTAATAGCAATCATTGGTTTGTTCAGATTCGCAAGGCAGGCATCGAGCAATATATACGTACATAGACATACATGAATAAGTTTTTCTGAATCCGTTATTATATTATATTTATATAGGAAGGTAATCAACGCCAATAACGTCCTATGTATTGTGGTTTGGTTTTGTGTTCTGAACTTGCGAGGGATTAGTATTAAACATCAGATGACTGATGACTGATGACTTATGACAGCACAAACATAATTAAATTAATAATTAGCAGTTATATATATATATATATGTATATGTATATGTTGATGTTCCCTTAATGCATGCATGCATGCAAATTAAGTCTTAGAAGAAGGAATTTGTTTCTTCAGAGGGAAGGGACACCTCAACCCTAATAATATTTAATGGTTTCTACATTCTTTACTTGTGTTACCTAGCCAAAGTTCCCACGTTTCCTTTTATTTTATGCCATCTCTGTCATTATATACATCAAATATTCCTCTTTCATACTTCCCTTCCCTACTATCTCACATTATATATGCTCATTCTCTTATTTTATTCCTTGGTTTTTTATGCCATATATACCTTGTCTTTCCAATTTGCCATTCATACACCAAACTCATTTACGGCTTATTATTATGCATAGACAAAAAAAAAAATAGAACATCTCGTCCATTTTGCATCCTAGTTTGAATTCTCCCCCTCAATCTCAGCCTCCTAGTTTTTTATGCCATATATACCTTGTCTTTCCAATTTGCCATTCATACACCAAACTCATTTACGGCTTATTATTATGCATAGACAAAAAAAAAAAGAGTACATCTCGTCCATTTTGCATCCTAATTTGAATTCTCCCCCTCAATCTCAGCCTCCTAGTTAAGAATAAATTAGAACACCGCTTCAATAAAACAGAAATGGAGAGTTTGAGAGTGAATGAAACAAGCTATAGAGTCAACGTCTTTCCTTTATTTTCTGGTAAAAAGTCAAAAAAAAAAAAAACCACATAATTATAGAAGCCAAAAGAAGGAAGGCTTTAGGCAGGTGATGATGAGTCCTCAGAGAAAAGTAACACACCCTGCAGCAGCAGGCAGGTAAGGTTATGAAAGAGGAAGGGAATTGTTTACCAAATTACCAGACAGACAGACAGACAGACAGACAAGCGCATGTATTGCCCTTTTTCTTTCTTTGTAATATATATCATTATCATTGCGGGGCGGGCCGGGGGCGGGGACAACACAAAGTCCCATCCCAATCCCATCATCTTCGTTTTCATTATTTCTCTCTTGCTCTTGCATGATATAACTACAACTTCAACTTGCAAAAGTTCAACTTGCAAACAAAACAAAAATAGTTTAGAGAGAGAGAGAGAGATTGAGATGCTATATTTCCATGATTACACGGCACCTTTATAGATGACACCGACACACCCTCATATGGTCGGATCCGTACATAATTTGAACAAAAGAAGACCACCCAAAATATATTTCCAATGTTATAACCATCTTGTTTACATCTTCCAACAACTAATCTCGTTTTGCCAAAGTCCATTATCATATGGCGGAACCACAAAATTTATGCCCCCAAAGTAATAAACCCAGGTATCCGCAGCCCGTTAAACTGGACATCAGTAAAAATAGATGGATAAAACATAAAGCCGTTTGCAGCTTGACCTCAATATAATAACTCGTCGTTGGCCCTCTTGCTGTCTCAGTCTCCTTATTGCTGAACTTTAAGAACTGGGAAGGCAATTACATCTCTAATGCTAGCCGAGTTTGTTAAAAGCATGACTAGCCTGTCAATTCCAAGTCCCTGAAAATATATATAACTTCTACCCATTAGTTTTCCTATCATTTTCTCCCAAATTACAAAGATATGACAGGATAATGACCGTACCATTCCTGAAGCTGGAGGCATCCCATATTCCAAAGCTGTAAGGAAATCATCATCAAGAGTCACCTCATACGAGTCATCATTTTCCTTTCTTTTATCATTTGCACCATCTGTTTCGGAAATAGCTGCTGCTTTCTTCTCATTGTGCTGCCTCACTTGCTCTTCCAAGCGTCCTCTCTGCCCAAATTTATCACCAACGATAAATCCTCTATGCTTCGTAATAGAAATCAACATAGTGAACTGTACAACAATTGGCAGTAAAAATAAACAATCAGCATTCATGATTACCTGATCCATAGGATCGGTCAGTTCAGAGAAAGCATTGGCCAGCTCACGACCACAGATGAAAAGCTCAAATCTCTCAGTCAACCCTGCATTTCTAATTTAGAAGAACAAAGGTGTAAGGTGATATGTAAAACTACCAAAATGAATGTAATACGCAATTTAATCGACATGGTATAATACCTTCGGTGTGGCTTGGCCAGAGGAGATATCTCAATAGGATAGTCTAATACAAATGTGGGTTGCAGAAGCTTTGGTTCTACAGCAATCTCAAAAACCTGGACGAATGAACAATTAGGACCAGAAAAAAAGGAGACAGCGTAGAACAAAAACAAATTAAAATCCACATTTCAAAAAGTTTCTGATTTTCATCATTGAAATCTGTTCTTTTCATATCAACAGCCTCCCATCAGATGGATAACTCAGCAAACTAATTAGTCAATGCAAACAAAACCAAGATCAAGAACTATAGATTGTAGATTGAGATCAACCTCATTAAGAAGGTGGCCAATAGATGTGCATGCTTCAATAGAAACTTTGTCTTTGTGATCAAGGTCAGCTCCGAGGGTTTTCAGAGTAACTTCTTTAGCCACTTTAAGATCATTGCTCAACTCACCGAAATCAATCTCAGCGGATTCTTTTACAAGATTGTGCATGGTTTCCCTCCTCCAAGGCCGCTCAAGATGTATCTCCACCCCCTGCATAGAACACGATACCAGTTACAACGTATTAAAAGCAACTTGATATCATATATTACTACTAAGCACACGTACTTTCCAACTTGCTTTTCACAGAAATGTAAACTGCACAGAAATCCCGTCACAAGTTGGGTGAAGTCGCATTTACCTGATAATCAACAGTAAGAGTCCCATGAACTGCAAGCGCACATCGTGTAACAATTTCCTCCGCCATGTTCATCATGCTTTCATAGTCTGAATATGCTTCATACATCTAAGATCAGACTAATACCAATAATGATCAGAGCTTCACTTGATAAAAATAATAAAGTTATATATAATAGCCTACACCTAGTAACGCTAATTTGGTAAAGTATATAAAGATGAGTTAAAATAAACAGTAATAATTAATTTACCTCTATAGTGGTAAATTCAGGATTATGACGAGTTGAAATGCCTTCATTCCTGAATATTCGACCAATCTCATACACTTTTTCAAACCCACCAACCTGTCATCCATAGACAGATCTTATTCAATATCTAATTCAGGTGTAAGATAAGGTTAGAAGTAAAGAGAAATAAAACTTATGCCCAATTATTCATTTGTTACTGTATGAAACTTAAACCAATCTTTTATAGAGTTTCTGTGGAATTAGTAATCATTCACATTCTCAACAAAACTAAAGTCCTCACCAGCATTCTCTTTAAGTGGAGCTCAGTTGCTATTCTCAAGTACAGGTCCCTTCCAAGTGAATTATGGTGTGTAACAAATGGCCTAGCTTCTGCACCACCAGCTGCTCCCTAGTTTATCAAATCAATTAAAAAACCAAGTTCCAGGTATATGACATTAAAATAAATTCATAAAAATAATCAGAAATTATATATTCCAGGAATTAAATAGTATTTCTTTAACTTATAAATTCAGGCCAGGCAACTATTTCTTGCATAAGCATCACCAACTGATATGAATAGATGCAAACATGTTAACAAGAGACCAATTTGGATTTCCACTATTTGTTTATTTCTCTACATGTCATTGGAAAGTCTCTCTTAGCTTTACAAATAAGTCAATGACCTAACAACCAATGATCAATTGTCATCTCAAGGATACTGTTAAACTTCAAATATAAATTTTATGTTCACAAGATGAACTTCATTTTTCAAATTCTCCAGTTCCACTTTACCAGGAAAAAAAACTTCAGCCAGGCTTTTAATTGAATAATTGTAATCTATGAGCATGCACTATCCAAAATAACCACAGAGCCTAGCAAAACAAATAGCTAAAATGCCATGCAAATATGAAACTGGGAGAAATTGCCAAACCTGCAGAACTGGAGTTTCAACCTCAACGAAACCAACAGACTCCACTGCCTTTCGTATCTCCGATATAATCTACTCAGTAAAACAAACAAGTAAAATCATTTTCAAGAATGGAAGTATTAATTCAAAACTTATCAAACATAAAAAGGAATATATCAGAAAGTTAGAAACCTAGTAGGTCCTAATTGTTTTCTGGTAAGGAGAGAACAGGAACGATTTACCTTTGCTCTTTTCCGGAATACATCAGCTACCTCAGGATTAGCAATCATATCTACATACCTAAATATTAATGGGGAAAATAAGATAGAACAGACACAAAAAATTAGAAACTTGTAGGTAAACCAAAATTTTCATCTAGTGTAACAATTTACCCGAGCACAATGGCGTTCTAGGATTCATACAGCCGACCCCACTTAGTGGGAAAAGGCTTTGTTGTTGTTGTTGTTGTAGCGGAAAACTGTATAACATCTAAACATATAAAATGTAATGCTCAAAAAGAAAGTATCAACACACCGCTGACGGTAGCGCTTGTCCACATCTGTTAGACCATGATACTTGTCCGGCAGCGGGAGTAGAGATTTTGTAAGAATTGCAAAAGAATTCACATAAATTGAAAGCTCCCCTGAGGAATTAACCAATAATTTTTGTTAGCTTTCTTTGCAGGACCTTGAGGCTAATATAACCTCTTTTTAGACAAGCATGAAACTTGTTGGTTGGTTAACATCATTAGCTAATGAAAATTCACAAATAGCAAAAGGCTTTTCCTTTTAGCTAGCAACTGATCCATAACTCGAGTATAGTTGTTGTTCCTTTTACTATAGAGGCTATTAGCCTATCAGCTAAGCTTAGCAACCAAATATAAACAAGAAACGTTAAAGAACTTACCTTTCTCTGTCCGTTTGATGGATCCACTAGCACCAACTATATCACCAATATCAACAAATGCCTTTAACTGATCGAACTGTTCGTCTGCAAGCCGTTCCTTTTCACAGTAAAGCTGTAACCAAATGTTCATAACCTCACTCACTTTGCTCTAATTTTCGTTTCGTTTAACTTAAAGAGTAGATAAAAGAGCTTCTTTTTTTTTAATAAAAAGCCAGGAATGAGATATAAGCATTATAGCAATGCAAGCTTTCCTAACCTGAATTGTGCCGGAATCGTCCCTCAGAGTCAAAAATGCAAGCTTTCCGAACGCTCTGCGAGCCACAATTCTTCCTGCAATAGACACAGCATCCCTCTCGGCTTTTGCCTCTTCACCGTCCGCTAAATCCTTGTATATATCTTGCAGCTGATTAGCAGTGTGAGTCCTTTCCCACCCATAAGCATATGGCTCCAAACCTTTGCTCCTCAGTTCTTCTACCTAAAACCCATTTGGAAACGGAATTCAAGGAAACAAATTTCAAACCCATAAATTGACTTCCTTCATGTCCCAACACTCTGCCATTGAAGTTTCAGAATTTCAGTCAGAGCTTTATTGGAAAGAACTTACCTTCTTCAAACGAATGGCTCGAACAGCGTCTCTATCGGAGGTGGAGGAAGATGTGGATGCCCGCCGGTTGCGGCCGCCGGCTCTGGCGGCGTTGGCGGGAGTGGTGGAGATGGAGGTGGAAGAGCAACAGCGGAGGACAACTCTAGAATACGAAGAAGAATGAGAAAAGGGTCGTCTGAGATTCGTCGTGGTGGTGGATGAAGCAACGCGGAAGAGGTGCTTCAATGGCTGCGAGGATAGGCTCCAAAGCTTCAGCGCATCCATCTCTGTTTTTTGGTTCCAAAGCTTCAATGGTTGGTTTGATTTTTGGTGTTTACTTCTCACCCCACTTCTTCCGTGGACAAGGGGGCCAACCTGTAGTGGGCTTTGTGAAATGGGCTAACATCTAGCCCACCATTGAAGATGCGAGCCAGTTTTGTACCCCTGCCTTGAGTTACAGCGGAAGCCAATACATAGTTCAACACTTCTTTACATGCAAACTACGAAATTCACTTGAGATAACGATGTAGTGTCATCTCTGTTGAATTAAAGTTCTTACAAATAGGTTGATACGGAGATACTTTTCATTGTTTCAAAGGAGCAGGGGTCCGTACACAACTTATCATAATATAAGTGGATCAGAGTTTTATTTTAAATTTATCTATTTGTATTACGACTCGTGGTGTATCAGCTCATATTTTGAGCGCATTGAAAATTTTCCGGGATTTCAGAATCCTGCCGATGTTTTAAAGACAGCAACACTTGTTTCCTAAAGTAGTGGTTGTAAGGTGGACTAATACAACATGGTTCTAGGATAACAATTTAACATGCATCATGATAATTACAAGAAGAAGATGCATGATACTAACCTGCACCGATTGGAGACATGGTGGCTTGAGTTCACAGGTTGTCTTCTACTTCCAGTACTTCAAAATGTCTCTCTACCGTGAATAGGGTTTGGCGTGATTGAGAGTATAAGCGTATGGAAGCAGGGACTTAACCATAATATTTATATCATTAGGGTTTAATCACAACCAACCTATTATTGGTTGTGAAAGTCAAACCCTATCACTTAAGTGTTTAAGTCCCACCATGATACTGTATCTTTGTAGTGAAATCCATCAGATTTCTTTTAGGTCAATTGCAAAGGCTAAGACTCCATAATCCTTATTTCATTTGGACTATCAGATTACTTAATTTGTTAACAACTCAATAAACAAGTGGTCTACAACATAAGTAATCCAATACATCATTCATTGTCATTCACAACCTTACAGTGGTTTGGTAAGAAGGGTTAGGAAACAACAGAGCTATAATTGTTGGGCAAAATGCAGGATGGGTCGTTCTCACTATTTACGAAGTGTCTGCATATCTGCTACCTGTAACGTAAAGATACAAGCAATAAACATCAAGGATGAAGAATGCCATCCACATAATATATCCTTATTTCTTACGTCTTTGTTTATGATACGTTATCCGTCATCTGTTTTGCCGACATAAATTCTTTTGAGTGTTATATCTGTACGACTCCAACAGTCGGAGTGGTGAAAATTGAGATCCATTCAACCAAATAAACCAGACTCTTGAGTCCCAATTGCCCAACCATTCAACCAAAAAATAGCAACAGAACAGAACAGAGTCCCCTTTCCCATACGCACGCGAAGTCGACAGACGAGGCACAAAAATGGTGTTCAACAGCGTAATGGTGGAGTCGGTGGCGCACCTGTCGGCGGAGATGTGGCAGTACTTGGCATGCTTACCGGAGCGCATGAGCAGCCACCAGCTGTTAGATCTCATCTTCTGCTTCCCTCTGCAGCAGTTGGGTCGCCTGGCTTTCTGCCTCTGGACCTTCCTCTGCGTCCCTCCGCCCGACTCCTACTACTACTACTCTTCCTCCGACTCCGATGACTCGTCCACCACCGTCGATTACGATGACTATTACTACGATCCCCACTCTGATTGATCCCCTTCTGCTTCTTCGATTGTCTTCTCCTTCGCCGGCTCCACTCTACAGTAATTTTCTACCATCCTTTGTGCGGTTTCTTTGATCTCAATTGCTTTGTTTTCTTTTCTGGAATGGTGGGTTTGTGCTGATTTTCTTGCTTGATCATTGACTTTTAATCTTGTTATAGAATGACGGGTTGACTGAGTGGTTTGTTTGAATTCATGAATTGGGTTGTTCAAGATTGCTCTTTTTCATCTGATATTAAAATGTAATGGGCCATCGGCATGAAGCTCGAGAAGCTAGATACTAGTGTGACAAAAGCGCTTCGCTCTCCGAACAAATGTTCAGAATCAAGTGTTCTAAGAGTCGGTTGCCATGAAAAAAAAAAGATGAACTTTGCTAGTGCTTGTGGCATTGACTTGTTATGTATATATGTATGTACGTATGGCAATTTGTTCGAAAAGCAAAGCGCTTTTGTCACCTCCTGCGCTCACTTTATAAAAGGACAAGGGAAAATTTGTATAGAGAGGAGTGCAGGATGCCATTTCTAGAGGGCGAATAATAGCTCCCAAAATTTATCGTCAAGAAGTATCCAAAAGCAAGCTGCACCAGTGGCTCATATTAACCATTGTTTATTCTCTTTTGTTTTGGCTGGAATCTTAATCATCTTTGTTAGGAAGGTTGATTAACTTATAAAGCATGGAGTAAGAACTATTCTGTTTCACTCGTGACTTGAGTGATGAAACTTTAAGTCAAACTTGATTGTTTCTCCAAAACACTGATCAAGATCTGAGATTTCCTACGATTTGGGTTGCACAGATTCATTTGTCAAATCTGAGGCAGGAGGGATGAAGGTATGGTGAGTTTAAGATTGAATAAACGAATAGTCACATTTAATAAATTTCATGAGCGCCTTAAATCTTTGGGAAATAGTTGGAATCCATTGTAAATTTAGCATTATGTGGAGTACAGACTATTGCTGTACTGATCTTCAACAAGGACTTGAGTAGTCCAAGAAATGCCGGGGAGCAAGTTGGCAAGATAGCGTTAGCGGTAGTCTTTCATACTTTAAATTGGAAAGTGGAGGATAGAAACGGGTGTTCACTGAATATTGAGTTATAAGGCCATGCTCTTAGGTTGTCACATGATTGATGGGCTGTAAAGAGCTTCTGAAGAGAAAAGATCTTGGACATCAAACATGACCTTTTCTAGAAAATGACCCTCACCTCTTGGTGGTTGAAACCTACTAATATTTGAGAGATGATATTCTGTGCACATTGGCCTGTTAAAGACTTGCTATGTCAAATTGTCAATGTAACCGAAACCAACCCATCTTCTTCATGCAGTGGTATTCTACATAGTCTGTAATTCATTTTAGAAACCCTTTTCTTTTTCTTTTCTTTTTTTTTTCTAAAACAGAAGTTCCACATTTTCACAAAAGTGATGGGATCCATGCAGCCCCGTCAGAGTTGTGCTTTTTTTCAAAGAACTTTGTGCTTGTTGGATGTTAGGAATAATACACAAATTATTCAGTGTTGGATTTGTTGATCACTTGATGCTGCTGCACAGATTGCTTTTGTGAAATGTAACTGTTAAATTCTTCAAACACTGGCTAATGCATTTCAGCACTTATTGTAGGATGATGCAGGATGGAAGATAGATTCTTCGATAAACTCTTTCGTTGCATTACATTGTACGGTTTGTGTGGGAGGGGACATGATATAATTGAGGAGCAGGCTTAACTTTGTGGTAGTTAGATTACTGGTTGCTGGTGGATGAAAAGGAAAATTACTTTCTGAATACAATTAAGTTGAGATCCCATTCCTGTGTTTATATGAAAGCTTCAAACAGTCTTAGATCCTTTGGGTTGTTGATTTCTTTGGATCTAATTTTACGTGGAAGCATCGATATGTGATCATATGCTGGTGATGTTGTATTTACAAATTGTATGAAATACTGGATGATATAGTTAATAATTAGAAACACTCAACCTTATACAGCATCTCATTTTTAGCGGTCGTGTATTTGAGGTTTCTTGCTAATTTGTATTGATTATTTGGATTTGATATGATGTACTCAGGTGGAGCAATAACTGATAAGCTAATGAGACCTAAAATGGGTAGATTCAAACTCAGAATTATTTAGGTAATTACATCGCCATAGCGCCGGCTTTTAGAAAATGAAAATTGGGCACGATGAATTATTCATACAAGGGTTATGTCTGTGAGATTGTCGGTGGAATTAAGAGTGATTGAGACAAATGAAATGTTCTCACAAGTCTGATGATTTACAATACGATGCTAGGGAGGCAGGGAAAGCCTTACGATGCAAGTCTTGTTGCTCTATTAATTGTGTTCCGTGAGCTGAGATTAATGAATCAAGAACCGAGGACTTCCACACTGGAATTCTGCACGGGAAAATGTGTTATACATTGTATGAACTGAAACCTTGGACCTTTGTGTTTCCACCAGTGGTTAGCATCAATCAGATTTTTTTTTTTTCTTAGTACAACGATATATTTTTCACTAAAGGGAACGATAAGTTCGGCTAGCATCAATCAGATTTATGCATGCTATTTTCTTTCACTTGTCTTCCTAGGGTAGTACAAGTAAGAAATATGTGCATTAAAACGATATGCTCAGTGAGTTTCCTGCAAGAAACATGCGACGAGAGAGAGTCCTGGAGACCAACCAATTGAGTATTTGATCTAGCAAACTAGAAGTGAATACTCTCGTTTCCCGTCTTTTTCTGGCTTCTGCCTTCCGCGATGGCTGAAGAGCACACTTGACTGTGTGAGGGTGCCAATTAGGCAGCTTCTAATTCAAGGTCTGGTAGTAATGGTTGTGAATTAGTTGCTACATTGGTCTCTTAATTTTTTGGTAATCTGTTAAGTGTAGGGAATGATAGTCGTTGCAGAGAAAGTATAGCTGCGACATCCTACATGCATGTTGGTTTTTGTGTGAGTTGAAAGCATTAGTAACTCAGCTTATTAGGTTCAAGATTGGTGATTATCATCTTCAAGACTTCAACAACTGAAAAGATTAACTAAGGTGTTCCTCGATTTACTGCCTTATGCAGTTCATGTTTTCTAATCTCCTGGCATGTTGCAGATATGAGCTTAACCAAGTTGGCTAGAACAATGTGTTTCTTCTCGTAGCCAAACATGGCACATGGCATGCATACACAAGTCAAACATGGATATGTTTGCAGCTGTATCTAGCTGTTGATTGCAATGTGTCTTCCAGTTTCTCCTTAGCATTAGCTATACCCTAGAGGAGGCTGTTCATCTTTATCACGTGTGATGCGGTGATGAGAATCCATTTCATTAGAGGACCTGGATCATGATGGTTGTAGATTATTACTATTGTTCTATCAGCATAGGTAAAAACACAGAGCGGCAAGTGAAATAAGAGAGATGTGATTTAGGCCAAAGAAGAATGTTAACAACATTATTCCTACAAAAAATTAATTGCATTTGAAATCTTTTACCGGTTGTTCAATAAGTCTTTTAAACACTAAAATTATAACAACGTTAATCTAACAATTTGATAATTACTTGTTTGGTTCTTTTGTGCAAAGTTGCTCTTTAAAAGGTGACCTAGACAACATACGGTTTCAATCATTAAGTAACGTTACTATATCATAAAAAGAAATGAGAAAGTAGAAAGAAAAGTAGTTCCAAATATAAAGGTTTGCTAGCCCTCTTAGGGTAATTAGCCAAGACAATGTGATTACCCCTTTATCCTAAAATTTGATCCTCGTTCAACAGATTGTAGTAGTTTAGAATGTGAAATTTTTTCGTAAAGGAAATAGTAGAGCTAGCATCATACACCAATCACGGTGTATATGGTGTATATGTTCCAAACATGTGGGGCATTGGCTTTTCATTTTTCTTTGTCGTGTCTAATGATTAAGGTAGGTTTGGTGCCCATTGTTAGCAAGTGCTACATTTTCATAGCACAATCATGACGAGGAAAAAGGGAAGTAAGAGCTAGGTTTTAGTTATTCAGAGACTTATCAAATATGCAATTACATTACCCCATTAGAAAAAGGCAATGCATATACCTTCTTTTTCTTTGTTTCTCTGGACACTTGACTAGTGATGGTGATGGCCTTTCTCCTCCCAACTTTTCAACTATTCCACTTGGTGGGTATCGGGTAGTGCCTTGTGGGGTGCATCAATTTTTGCTGACTGATTATCTAATGGGTAATGGGTGTCGCCACAAAAGGTCAAGCCTAAAATAATGGTTGCTTCTTGTTTGGTTCATACCAAATTACCGATCACCCTTAGAATTGGTAAGATGAAGCTCGCATGTCACAGTGCTTAACTATTATTGGCTCCCTAACCTTGTCTCGGCCTCTTTTAGATATTTGGCCAGATACCTTACCCTATTATCAACAGCCATGCTCAAGGATTGGGAAAATTGCATAAATATCCCTAGTTCTCTTTTGTGTGGATTAGTCGGCCCTCCTTAATTTAATGAAGGAGACATTCATGTTTTGGGAATAATTAAATAAAAACTAATCATTTTGCGGTTGATATCAGCGTTTGAAGTTCGACATTGTTTTCTTTTAGTAATCTTGTCTGTCACACAGCACAATAAAGTCATTCGGAGATTTCTAGATTTGTACCATAATCCATGTTTTCAATTTTCCAAGATGGTGCCTCGTCCCCCTCCTGCAAAGTATATTTTCCCTTTCACTAGCAGCCTTTTTAACTAATATGGCAGGCAGATCGGCACTGTGCTGCAAGCTGAAAGCTTCAGTCTTCCAACATATATAAGAAAATTGCATGCTCGTTAATATATTCTTTCTTATTTGCAAATCCTGGTTTTGACATACGTGTGAAAATAATTTATTGAAATTAACAAGAGAATTCTCTGCAGTAGATGGCAAACTCTGATTTTTTTTGGGGGTCAAAAATGACAGACTGTGATTTTCCACGGAGATGTGAGCTAATATTTGCCCATGAATATTTTCAATATATAGTTTAAATTAAATACACCATAACAAATATTATGCGGATGAAATAAAGGCTGAAGAAGTGTAGTTTTTGTATTGTTTTTCTTATCACTTGGCTGTTTGCTTATGACAATCAATAAGGATGATCATGTTCATATATATGTATATATATATACACACACACACATACATATGTATGTATGTATATATGTGTGTATGTGTGTCGGTGCATATTAGCTTGAAGACAAATCCTCCGAAAATATTTTTGTTCCGTCAGAGCATGCAAATTAAGAATTCTTCACATCCTCCTCTTCTCGTTTCACAATTTAACTTACTTGCATGATTGCATGTTCAAAATGTTGTATTATTTGTATCATCAAGTATTTATGGCACCAAAAATAAAAATCCTTGAGGTTTCCAGGGGCACTAAAATTCAATATCAAACTTTATCTAATCTGTATGGATCATCAAAGAATAAAAGATTTAGGACTCAGAATATGGAACTTAATTTCATTAAACTAACCACCAGTTGTACCGATCCCATATGACATATACAACCTATGGTTCACATGTCCATGGACTTTTGCGTCTGATCTAGTACCACATTATTTGCCAGTTTTCCACCAGAACTATATATTTTTCTACAAATTTTTGTTTTATATAGAAGGCCTATAATCTCTGGTCAGCTAATCAAAACAAATTAGCGAAAAAAAATCCAACCGAACAAGAAAAATAAATGTCATTGATTTGTCTATTCTGAATTTCTTATAAATTGGCCCGTAATTTGCCCCACCACATGCGGCCTTAATTGGATAACAGTAACAGCATTGTTGTATTGCTCTTCGTTGCACGTTTGTATTTTTTCCTGTGCAGCCGTGCTTCTTTTGTTTCTTTTCCCAACCCAATAATTTGTCTGTAACTATCCTCTGCAAACAAACGCATTTGAATAAAATATATATATTTATATGTATTTATTGTATTATTAATATATATATATGTGTTCATACTTTGCATTTTCTATGGTTCTCTGAAGGAGCAAAAGCCAGCCATTCATAATGCATGCATTGCTCGTCGACGTTGACAAAGGCACGCGTTAGACTATGCACCTGTTATCCCATATTCTCTTTTCTTTTTGTAGGTGAGAATAGGTTTGGCTGGCTCCTTGGGATTGAGGAGTTCTTTCTAAATTTACTTAGTGATCCCCTTACAAAACTTTGTATTTATAATCGGAACTATTCATGAATCATATTATAAAGGGTTATTTTAGTTTTTGTATCTAATCAATCTAATTAAAGATTATCTTACAAAAACACAATTAAAACTACGATTATTTAGTCAATCAGTTATAGCAAATAAATAGACGGTTCATAATTCTTTTACTAAATTCATCAATCTATTTTTATATAACTAAACGATCTCATTTTCAATTATATTTTACAGAGATAATTTTTACATAATGATTTATAATATGCACTGTTCCAGTCATAAATATAAAATTCTATAAATCGGTCACGTAGTAAATTGAGGAGGAACTTCACTTCATCTACTGAGGAGCCAAGTTTATTCCTTTGTGCAAGTAATTTACAATTTTGTGGGTAATTGATTGGTAAGTGTATGCCGCAATTTGCTACGAATCGTGGCCAAAAGCCAAGGAAAGAAAAAGAAAAAGCTCCTTTCGAGTGAAGCCTTTTTATTTGGTTAGCTGATCATGGGCTTTAATTATTTTCTTATACATAATCACCAACAGATTAGTAACCTTTTCTTAATTTATTTTGAGTTTAGAATATATATACATATCTCAAAAGTAAAGAGTCAGCATGCATTAATATTCTTAAAAAAGAAAAAGATATGCGGGCATTAATAGAAAACTATATTTCCCATAATAATTGATATAAAAAAGATACTTTTGTTTCGAAGGTGCATACAAAAGTTTTGAGTCATGACTCATGCATGCACCACTGATTTGTGCCCAGGTCCAAGATAATGAGCCCTTTCACACTTTAACAATCACAAAGTTAATAGTTAGAGTAGTGACAGGGAGACTAACTTTGTAAACAAAATT